CCTATTATTCGGAACAGACCTATACTTTACAGAACCCACCAGATTCTTTGAAATATACTGTGGTAGTTTTCCCTCTCTAAAACTGTGGTTAATAATCTTTTTTTATAGTAACACAATGGAAACTAAATTAACATTCTTTTCATCACCCACATGCACTTGGTACAGCCGTATCAAGCGTCATTATTTACTCTAATTGCTTAAGCTAATATCACGTGACGCTAAACGCTGTTTAATTGGGATAATTTCCTAAAATTTAGCAAATTTGTGCTTAAAAGTTGGCAATGAATGATGAATAATATCCGTTCACCCGTATGATTCACTTGAAAACTTGAGCTAGAAACTAATAATCTAGTTTGCTTGGCTTAACCAATATTTGTGCATCTGCACGTGCTTTCACCCTTTAGTTTTGCTACTGTAAATCAGTCAGCTTTAATCCCTATGACAAAAAAGCTAAAAAAAAAGGTCCACCTTTACTTAGGTAAATTTCAGACGATAGCTCACGTGACTTTTTGCGTAGGTGTGTGCAAAAATTTTGGTCAAAATTGAACGGTTTTTGTTGAATAACTTTGCACACGTTGCTTATATTTAGACCACATTTGACACCTATTTGTAGATTGTAAAGATCTATCAGAGTACCAAATCTGAAAAAAAAAATCCATAAAAGTATGTTTTTTCTATCACTTAAATTATCCGTACTTTCGGTGTGAAGAAAAAAAACAAAAAGGGAAGAAATTCAACCAAAATTAGAGATTTTATATCTCGTGTATTTCTTAATGAATTGCCTTGAAATTTGGTATGTGAAGTAGGGTCTAGTAGATCACATCCACTAGAAATGTGTGATAGTTTGGATTACCACAGTCCCAGATAAAGAAAGTGGTAAATTACTAAACTATCCCTCTTGTTAATAACACACAGTGTGTCCTGCACGTTGTTTTGGCTTACCGTGTATTTTGATTACCTCTGTAAAAACATTATACTTTTGTTGTTTTTTCTGCTGGATGCTGCCAGAATTACAATACTATGAAATAGTTACCACAAGTTACCTTAGTTTTCTTCCCAACTTGTTTATAAAAGGCAATTGATGCTTATATATGTGGGAAAAAGAATTTAACTACAATATGCAAGAATTGTTCATGACTTTATAAACATTAACAATAAATTAAGGCAATTGCAAAAAAAAATTCACTTATATTTATTTTTCACAAATATTTCTGTAATGCTACCAAAATGTGAGAACCAAAGAAACTAAATTTATTTCATAAAGTTTTAGTTATAACACAAAAACACACATTTCTGCAAAATTATTGAAATTACAACAAAATATGATCTTAAAGTGACAGGATGAAATGAATACAAAAATAACATTAATAAAATGGAACTTATTGATTTTCAATTGTTAATATAATAATTAAGTGAAATACTTTCTTCATTTCTAACAAATTTTTACTTATACTAAAGGTTAAGTTATCAGAACTTACCTAGATATAATCTTTGAATTTTTTTGTAAAACATCCATTTCTTTACTCATTATGAACTATAAAATCATTTAATATAAAAATTAACAGCAATTAATATTGTTAAGGCACAGTGTTAAATCGCATCCATAACCTATTCACTTAAACATAAATTACATTAATTTTTCATGTTGCTAGAATATTTAAAATACAGAATCTACATTATACCAAACCTTTTAATTATAAACAAATAAAATGACTTATTAGTCATGCAGTGATGAGTTAGTTAATTAAAATCTTTTGGCATATAATGTTTTGAATCTCTTACTTGTGTTGATCATTTAAAAACTGTCAAATTGGTAATAACGAAATACAAATGAAGTGAACAAAATTTGTTGTATTAGAATCAATTGTTTACTTTGATCATAAATGATGAAAAAAAAAATTTTACTTAAACATGTTTACAATCATAAAATCTAACAACATATTTTCTCATGTTTATTCTTTATACAGATTATGATAAAAAAGGTGTTAAAGACTACAAAGACAGATCTCTATATTATCTGACACACTGCCTAAATTTTCAAAGCTTCAGTTTTCACTGGTGGACTTTTGTAGAAGATTCTTCAATATTCATCTTTTTTTGCTGTGACCTTTACCTACCTTGCTAATTTTTTTACTTTCACGTATCTTTGTATCACCAGAGTCCGAGTTTTCTGAATCAACTGAGCAACAAGATTCATATCTTTGTGTGTCAATAGGACTTCTTTCTACAGCATGTGAAATATCAGAACCACTATTTTCAAGGTCAGAATTTGATGCTTTTGTTTCATCACTTTCTGAAACGTTTTCTTCTGCAGGGGAGTCTTGAACTATAGGAAAATTATTCATGTGTTCTGACATCTTGGATGTTCCTGGCTCTACTGCAACAACAGTCTCTGAGCTAGAATTTTCCTCCAGAATGGGAGCCATTTTTGTATGTGTCATTCCACCAGATGTTTCTTCTAATGAAACAGGCATAAGACAAATCCTACTTTCATCAATAACAATGGTACTTGATGACTCCTCTGGAATTGGAGGCATAGGTGAGTTTGGTACAGACAAGGAAGGTGTCAAACTGTCTGATGGTAGTATAGAATAATTATCAGAAGTATAACTCCGTGCACTAGATGCTGCTGTATATGGATTGGATGCACTAGGTCCAGCAAAAGAAGTGCCATGTCTCATAAAAACACGTGGAACAGAGTTATCCATACTACTTGTCACATCAGAGTCACTTGTTTCTAATCTTCGATATTGATTCTTAAGCCTATTTAACTTGTTTCTTCTTTGACTTAGGTTACTAAAAGGATACTTTAATATTATAGGTGCAGGAACTGGATCCATAGAACCACTTGAAGTGGCTCCTGTACTACCATACTGACCATGTCGTTTTGCAGAAGTTTTCTTGGTGGTATAGTGTACACCCTTCTGATGAGTCTTCCCATTAGTAATTAATGTTGCATCATCACTGATCTTACCACTCTGTGGGTTTAAGTGTAAACTACCACTCCAAAGGTCTCTAAAAAACCTAGATGGCCCAGATAGCTCCACTGTTGGAGTATTATAAATATTCTCCTGTCTATCTTGCTCAATTGTTGTTTCAAGAGGTATAAATGATGCATCATTAGAACCAAACCTAGGCAAGAAAATTACTTCAAGTATAATCTAAAACAACTGTGCTTATACAAGTTCTAACATTTTATCATTAAAAGTCCTAATATTTTAAATTTGAGTGCTAATTTCAACAAAAACGTTGATGTTTCACTTTGTCTACCATTCTTCCAAATTTTTTTCAACCCTTAATGTTAAAGAATAAAAATATTATACAAATATGATTATACAACATAAGTGTCACATACACGTAGTAAATGTTTATGCTTATTAAATCAAACACCTTTTTAAAATTACACATTAGTATGAACATGTTTGTATTAATCAGAATAATGTGAAAAAATGACAGGGAATTTTGTAACAATATTGTGTTCTTTTTAAAATTCAGCATGAAACATTATATGATTTAGACATAGAACCGTTTTTAAAAATCAGATTATTTTAATCTTAAAAGCAAATCGTTATAATTTCATTAGAACTTTCATGAAAGCAAGTTAAAAACACCACAAAACAATTGTTACTATATCGTTATCACATTTAAAAACAATCATAGGAGTTTATTAAGAGCAAACTTAGGAGGACAGAGATACAATTCATGTAGTTTACTTTGCTATAGCTTTAAAGTAATAATCTTTTATACAAGAAAGTAATAAATGCATTAAAGAATAAAATCTGTTATATCTTGAATTGTGGCATCAAAATGATCTCAATAGGTTTAAAAAATCATCTATTGTCATTTTGTTGCAAAATAAACATATACACCTAAAGATATACAATACATACTCAAGGTTAGCAGCTGAACCAATCTGGGGATTATATGACCGGTGGTATAGCTGGGATACTTTAGTGTGAGGCAATTGAGGTTCTAAATCTTCCCAGAAGATATCACGTTTTAGTCTTGGATGTTGAGAATGAAGGTGATCAACAATAAGAAAAACAATCTAAAGAAATTTTGAAGCTTTAGAAAATGAATATATTCAAATAATAGAAAAACTGAATCTAGCATTTATAAAAACAAAACAAAAAACTGTACATTATTTTTCATATTTCTCTTAATTTGCCCATTTTGGGTTCAAAAATCAGATGTAAAAATATTTCAGTTCCAGTGTTAAAAATAAAAAGAGACCTGAAAAACTATTTTTACACACTTCTGATTTCTAGCTCAACATAGACAAATTAAGAAGATATGAGAAAATAAAAAACAATTGCAGTTTATAGGATTTTTATCATAATCATTAAGAGTATTGGTTTCTAATGCTTCACCAGCTTTAAAGAATAACCTTTAAAGAATAGAAATGTTATTCAGAGGTTCCACATATTCGTGCTACAGGAGTGAATGCAAAGTTTATTCAAATAAAAGTTTAAAATTACAGAATTTTTGTGAAAACACTGGACCATGATGATCCAACATAAAATCCTGAATAAATGACATTTAGATTTACTATATGTAGATTTTTTTTTATATCACTGATGATTAGTGCAAAGTGCTATAAAAAAACAACAACTACAGTGTTCATTTCCTTAACATGTACCAAAACTGTTTTGTAAGCTAGTCACTTAGCTAACTTAATTCTAAAATATAACCTTTTTCATGCATCTTAACATTTTAATGTTGTACATTTTGTAATTAAAATGAATAATGGAACAAACTTTGCTTAAAAAAGTCCACTCAGACTTTAATTTCTTTAAACTTTTCTATTAACAATAAAAAAAAATCTAGGGGGAGCCGATTTCAACACGCAAAACTCCACGTTAAAATAATCTCATCAAAAACCCCTTAGGTGTGAAAAAAGAGTGCGGTCAAAAAATGAAATCAAAATTGGTGGCCAAACTGATTGCTACACTTCTAGCATTGATAAGAATTTTACAGCAAATATTCATTCATCAGTTAGCCAGGCCACATTTTTTGTTCAACTTGGGGCATGATGGTGGGTAAAACAAAATACACACCAACAAACCACAGAAAGTAAGAAAGTGACACTCAATAACAACTAGCAATAACTTTAGGATCGTACCCCCATTATTCAGAACAGACCAACACTTGGCCTAACCAATAGTTGTGTATCTGCATGTACTTTCACACTATAGTTTCGCTGCTCTAAGTCAGCCATCTTTCATTACAAATGACAAACTAAAAACAGTCTACCTTCACTCTTAAATGAAGTTGCAGTAAAAATTTCAGACTGATAGCTCTGTAGGTGTACACAAAATATTTGGATCAAATTGAGCAGTTTTTGTTGAATAACTTTGCACAGGTGGATTATATTTAGATCAAATTTGACATTTATTTGTAGGTCAATGATCTATCAGTGTACCAAATTTGGAAAAAAAAAATCCATGAAAGTTAAGCATGTTTTCCTATCAAAGTAAAATAGCCCAGTGTTCAAATGTAATCTCAGATACTAAACAGGTCAAGGTTGTTAACTTTCTATCAGTCTAGCTTCGTATTGTTCTTTGTTAGCCCACAGGGATAGCACTTAGTCTGTCAATGAGGAAGTAGTTGCAAAGATGCACCTTGTGTATGAAAGTAGATTGGTAGATCTCCATTGGTAGATCAGACAACATCAAATGAAAAAGACCAGTCATGTGGGTAGCACTAATCACTCTGGGGAAAGACTATATAATTCTTTATACAGTCTTTGCTTTGGGTAAGTCTGAAATTACAGATTTTCCTAAGTAATGTAAAGTTTATTCAGTCTTGAACAAGATTTCAACCAACAACTGTGTAGAGAAAGTAATCTAGAACCAGTAAAAGCAATCATCTATTATATCAAGCAAGTATATGTGCTTTGTTTTTGAATAAAAATTGCTCAATATATTTTTGTACAATATGTCTAGTCTATTTCTTTCTCCTGAACTCATTTACTCAGACAATTTAGAATTATTTTGTAATAAATATTTTGGTAGAATCTTCTGATATTCTGTGGACTTATCTTGTCACTAAGGAAAACAAGTTTGATCTGAAAATACCATATGAATAATCAGTGACTCAATTAGGGCTAAGCTGACAAGCCATCTTTAATGGCAATTATTTGACCATTTAGAGCATTGTGGTTAGGTTTTACGACATTTATCCTATGTTGTCATCATTTGGATATGTATTTCTCTCTCTCTTTTTATTTAATGAATTTCAGTCAATAACCAATAAATAACTTGGAATGAAAATGCTGTTGATTATTTTTGAAGTAATTATGCTGAAGATTGAAGCAGAAACAATCTCAAACATCCATTTCTTTATCCTATCAACAAATGTATGACTTCAGATTTCAACTAAAATTAATCTTGAGCCTATTTTACACTAACATCATCATTGCAACAATAGTTACATGACAGTGTTTACCTGCAAGTGGAGATATATAGTCTAAAGCCTATTACTGATCAGTTTTACCAAGTCAGCATATTTCCCATTTTACAGGTATCATTTTATAAAGATCATTTTTTGCCAAACTGAGATAAGCACAAAATTGGATGGTTTGTTGTCAATAAAAGTAGTGTTGCATCAGCGAGGTCACGTGACGTTTCTAGAACAAATTGTTCGTGAATTGTCGGAAGATTACTAGATATAGGGTAGTCTGGTATATATATAAGAGGGTGACAACGTGACGGAATAATGTGTGTGTAGACAGTGAGTAATTGATCTGCAGTCAGAGTATTATTGAGCACGTTCCTTGTTATAGCGTTTGT